CATTTCATCAGCCTCTGCCCAGTCAACCCCCCACGCCCAGCGGTGAGTACCCTCCAAATAGAACCAGAAATATCGACATTATCTCTGCTACCAGTGCAACTTCTAACCCAAGACCTCTCTGTTTCAGTTTCAGCCCTCGTCGACTCGGGCTCTTCGGGCAATTTCATATCCTATGACCTCGTAAATCGTCTCCATCTACCCCGCCTACGTCAAGCCCAGGAGCTCCTTGTGCCATCAACTTGCTGCCTGGGGCAAAACTCCCTAAGGGTAGAGTATACCCACTGTCCATCCCAGAGTGCAAGGCCATGGAGGATTACATCCAGGAGACTCTTAAGCAAGGTTTCATCCGACCATCCACCTCCCCGGCAGCCTCGAGTTTCTTCTTTGTGGGCAAGAAGGACGGGGGCTTGAGGCCGTGCATCGACTATCGCATGCTGAACTCCCAGACGGTGAAACTACCATACCCACTTCCGCTGGTCCGAGCCACCCTGGAGGAACTCCGTGGAGCTCGCCTCTTCTCCAAACTGGACCTGCAGAGCGTGTACAACCTTGTTCGAATCAGGGAGGGCGACGAGTGGAAGACGGCGTTCATTACCCCCGCAGGCCACTATGAATATCGGGTCATGCCGTATGGCCTTTCAAACTCCCTGTCCATCTTACAAAGCTTCATGAATGAGGTGTTCCGGGAGTTCCTCAGGGTATCCAGATGGACCAGGAGAAGGTTAAGGCCATCAGGGAATGGCCGCTTCCACAGTCGGTGAAGGAGTTACAACGATTCCTGGGATTCGCGAACTTCTATCGACAGTTTGTGAAGAGTTTCAGCATGCTCACGGCCCCTCTTACTTCCATGCTACGAGGCAAACCCAAGTCCCTGTCCTGGAACAGCCTTGCCCGCGAAACATTTAACCAGCTCAAGGAGACCTTCAGCACGGCCCCCATCCTTCACCATCCGGATCCCCAGGTACCCTTTGTAGTGGAAGTGGACGCCTCTACCACCGGCGTCGGGGCCGTGCTGTCACAGCAAAGTCGGGAACCTCCAATCATCCATCCTTGCGCTTACTTCTCCAGGAAACTGAACCCGGCGGAGCAGAATTATGACATCGGCAATCGGGAACTGCTCGCCATCAAACTGGCCCTGGAGGAGTGGCGTCACTGGCTGGAGGGAGCCCATCACCCTTTCTCAGTGATCACGGATCATAAGAATCTCCATTATCTCCGTGAAGCCAAAAGACTCAACCCTCGTCAAGCCCGATGGGCTTTGTTCTTCACAAGGTTCCAATTCACAATCACTTACAGACCTGGAAATCGCAATTGCAAGGCTGATGCGCTATCCCGTCTTCACTCTCCCGACATTCCAACAGAACCAGAAACCATTCTCCCTCCAGCCGTGATCGTCAGCCCCATACAGTGGAATATCAACCAGGACATCCGTGACGCCACTCGCACCGAACCTCCCCAGGCAGCCAACGGACCCTCTCGCTCCTCCAGGCTCGGTACTGGTGGCCCAGTATGGCCCGGGATGTCAACAGGTATGTCCAAAGCTGTTCAGTCTGTGCCATTTCTAAAACCCCACGTCATCTCCCCGTAGGCAAGCTCGTCCCACTGCCCGTGCCCCGTAGACCCTGTTCCCACATTGGAGTGGATTTCGTCACTGACATCTCTGCCTCGAATGGTAACATCCTTGTTGTGGTTGATCGCTTCTCCAAGGCCTGTAAGTTCATCCCTCTCAAGGGTCTACCAACAGAATTTGACACAGCTGAATGCTTATTCACTCAGGTCTTCCGGAACTATGGCCTCCCGGAGGAGGTCGTTTCAGACAGAGGGCCCCAGTTCATCTCCCGAGTATGGAAGGCCTTCTTCCGATTACTGGGAGTGACAGTAAGCTTGTCCTCGGGGTACCATCCACAGACTAATGGCCAGACTGAACGAAGGATCCAGGAGCTCGGACGTTACCTCCGGTTATACTGCCACGACGATCAGCACAGCTGGAGCCGCTACCTCCGGCGTACCGCTACTCCCACCTACCAGCCTGGAGAGCTGGTTTGGATCTGCGCCTCCGCCTGCCCTGTAAAAAGTTGAGTCCCCGCTATATTGGTCTGTTCTCAATACAGAGGCAGATTAACCAAGTCACCTACCTTCTTCAGCTTCCACCAAGGAACAAAATTAACCCCTCATTCCAC